GCTCTTTCCAGACCTTGGGATGTGATGGAACCATTCATCATCCCTTAGTTACATGGCTGGAGTGAACGACCTGTTTCCAGGCAGGTAAAACCTCCCAAGTGGGTAAAACATGACTAGGATTCATCCAAGATAAATCAGAGAAAGGAACATGTCACCCAGTGGGAAGAGGACAAGGGTAGAAACACTGGTTCTTTTTGACAGTGTTCCATTTGGCAGGGACACACAAGACATGAAGAATAGAGAGAAATGGAGCTAGAGAGGTGTGTGTAGGCTGGTCATGGAGGATGTGCTTCTCAAGAACTGTTAGCTTATCTTGCAGGCTTAGGGAAGACCAAAGGAGACCAAAGGGCCAACTCTTTGAGGCACCAATATTTGAAAAATGCTAAACATAGGCTGTCCATTAATTCAGGACTCCACCATTTTACCACTTTATAAAATCGAGGAAGCATGTTTTGGTCCTATGGCTCATGAGGTAGACGAGGTCCTTGAATGGGAAAATGTGTGACGAAACCTCTGCTGATCAGCTCTGCCGGTGCAGGCACATATTGTGGCAACATTTTAATGAAGCTCTTTTCTGCTTGTTCAGTGCAACTGTAGGCTGCACCAGTAATGTAGCTGGCTTCAAGAAAGAAGAAACTAAGGAAAGGTGGCACACAATGTGTGGACCCTAAGAATACTGCAAAATTAGAAGCAATTCTACATAAGATGCTTATTTTGTTTCTCTATACATAAGAGGTGGTAACCTTAGTTAAAAACAGCAACAGCTTCCCATTGTCCCCATTAAATAAATATTGAACAGATTCTAAGGAAAATAAGTTTAAGATGCTGCTAAATTCAAAGCTGAGATGGGAGACTTAAATGTTTACATCAGTCCTGCTTAAAAAAAAAAAGGAATTTTACCAGATTGTTGTAAGAAATGGATTGATAAAATCAAATCTTAATTTTAAGAAAATGGTTTGGATTTGGACAGGTTGGAGATGATACAAGTTTATTTTAATGAGTAGGGACTCCACAAAGGTAGAACATGGACAATGAGTTAGAAAGGAGCAGAGGATGCTAAAGAAGTAACTGACTGTGAGGGTCCCAAAATGACCCCAACCTTCTCGTCTGAGCAACTGGTGGACATTAATGTCTTCTCCTGAAGCAGAAACCAAAGTCATCTAGGAACTCTCACACACTAGACATTGACTGAGCACTTGCAACCTCAATTATCCAATTGAAAAATTAAAAGGTGAAATATTTTCCACTTCCTATTTAGATATTTCAAGCACAAACATTTTTGGACCTTCATGTGCATTATTTTAATCTGAATGGATGGTTATTTTTATGTTGTATCTGCATTCCCATATTTTTATACCTAGAAGAGATGAGTGTTCCTGGCATTCCAGATTACATATATTCCTTGACAAAGAGGAACAATACCTTTGAATATAGGACTCCTCAAACAATGGGACCAAAGGGGACTGGCGTTGACTCAGTGGTAGAAGTCCTGCTTAGCAGGCACCAGGCCTGGGGTTCCTTTCCCACCTCTGCAAACACGCGTGCGCGCACACACACACAGCATTAAAGATGGAAAACTGCATTGACTACAGTAAAATAAAAGAGAATGAGGCAAAAATGGAAAACAGGAAATATCTGGTAGAGGCATTAGGGGACTGTAGATGATGCAGGTGTGACAGCCTGTTGACAAGGAAGGCAAAGTCAGCTTTGTTGTGGAGAATAACAAAGCCCCCAGGCAGCACTGAATACAATACGCAGCTGCAGAACTGAACACAAACAAAGACTTTTTGTTATTATTCTGGAATATAAGAACCTCAACAGGAACTCTAGGCTGAGGATGTGCCATCCTTCCCACTGGCAGTGTGGGAGAATTTTTCACCAGGATTTTTATTTATGTGTCCTATACAATAGATGGCTTTGCGGGGGGAGGGGTGCAGCAAAGTGCAGATTTTCCTTTTAACTTGGTTTGGTCTGTCTCCTCGGGAAGAGAAATGACTCAATTCAAGATTGTGACCACCACTTTGCTTATGTTTTGCAAAATATCATTCCTAAAAGAACATTCTTTTAGCCTTGGTAGAAAATGTCCAGGAAGAAAGGTTATAAGTAAGAAAGCAGATAATTCATCCAGGTATTTGTATTGTACATCAGCAGCCAACAGACCAGGGTTTGTGGTTAAAATCACATAGATAAAATAGCCTAACGTAGATGGCTCATAATAACTATTGGACATCTGTCACTTATATCTCTATAACAAAGCAGAGGTATAAAAGTTTAAAATCATAGAAAAGCAAATGCATGGGAATCCAGTGACCCAGTTTCTCAGCCTGCTCTATCTCAAACCATCTACACAGCATCGAGGTACCTTTAATTGTCTGGTGCTGTTTGACTTTGTCTGCACCTGAACTGAATGATGTCCAAGGTACCTTACAATTTTCACTTTTCCTCCACACCAATATCTGTGTGAAGCATAAAGAAGGGTGACACAGAGTGCTTGTCTTTGAAAAGCTGCAGTTCCTAATTAGAGACATGATAATCACACACACACACACACACACACACACACACACACACCACACACACACAACATATATATCTCACAGCACACAGTCATGTGCTTTTACATAGTTTCTCATAAGGAGTGCAGATAGTGAAATTATTACATTTTTTGTCTCCTTACATTAAAGCATCACACGTGTGGCACATTTTTAAAATAAGGAGTCTGACTCTGAACTATGTCACATTGGGCAAATAGCTGTCTTCTACATCTCTAAGACATCCAGAGCTGTCAGAGAATCCCATAGGCTGACTTGTAGTATAGAAAGAGTGTACACACACTCAGAGAGGAAACTGGGAACGGAGAGAGATCACAGGAGAGGAAGAGATACCTATCATGCAGAATATAAATAGGTATATATATTTTAATAATTATATAATAAATAAATAAATCATATACAAAAAGTCAGGTGGAGAGCTAGAGATTGGGATGGATCCCAATAGTGCTCCAGAAAGCAAGCAGCAGCCCATGAGCAAGAGCAAAGCAGTGGGCAGCTCCAAGGCAGGATTAGCCAGGCAGATTCAGACTTCTAGCTGGGTGAGGAGCTGGAGAACACACTGGGGACGAAGTGGAGCTGGACTACAAGGGTGTTGGAAAGACCTTTGGCTTGACACTGCCAGACATGGAATATCCGCAAGATGCTTCATAAAGAAACAGCATGGGCTGGGGATGTGGCTCAAGTGGTAACGCGCTCAACCCGGCATGTGTGGGGCGCTGGGTTCGATCCTCGGCACCACATAAAAATAAAATAAAGATGTTGTGTCCACTGAAACTGAAAAATAAATATTAAAAAATTCTCTCTCTCTCTCTCTCTCTCTCTCTCTCTCTCTCTCTCTCTCTCTCTCTCTCTTCTCTCTCTCTCTTAAAAAAAAAAAGAAACAGCATGACAAGAATCAGTGATCTGGGACATGGCTGGGAACATGCTCCTGTGTACACCTGGAGCTTATATATATATGTAATGTGTGTGTGGACACATTTTACACCCTTGGGCAGGGTTGGATTCTAGGGGCATAACCACATCACCAGTTGTCACTCCTGTATCATTTCATACCAGGATTTACTCCTCATTTCTATGAACATAAGATAATTCCAAGTACCTGGAAGCAATGGTAAAGGAAAAATTAGACCTTTAGAAAGTTTCCTTCAATCTTTAGATATTTTTATTTTTTATGCTTTTGTTATTGCTTTATGGTTAAACATAACAAAGCATAATTTTGACATAATGATACATGTATGGAATATAATTTGCTCCACTTCAGTCCCTAGTACTTCCTTTGTTGCCTCCTCTTCTCCCTCCCCCTGTTTCCCTTTCCTCTACTCTCCTGATCTTCCTTTGGTTTATTTATAGTTTGATTCCTTTTTAATTAGTGCCTTATAGTCATACAAAATGGTAAAACTCACTGTGGTATATTCATGCGTGTACATAGCATGATTTGTTTAATTTTAATCCATCGTTCCTCCCTTTCCTGACCCTCTTCCCTGCTCCCTCCTCTCTCCTCCTCAATACCCTTCCTCTGCTCCACTGATCTCCCTTCTGTTTTCATAGGATCCCCCTTCCCCCCCACACACACACCTGCTTTTTCCTTATTTTGGTCTAGATTCTTGGTCTAGCTTCCGCATATGAAAGAAGACTTTTGACCCTTGACTTTCTGAATATAGTTTATTTGACTTAGCTTGATGTTCTCCAGGTCTATCCATTTGCCAGCAAATGACATAATTTCATTATTCTTTCTGGCTAAACCTCCATTGTGTGTGTCTGTGTGTGTGTGTGTGTGTGTGTGTTGTTCATCTAGTCTTCTGTTGGTAGGCACTTGGGCTAGTTCCATAACATGACTATTGTGAATTGTGCTGCTATAAACACTGATGATCCTGTATCACTATTGTACGCAGATTTAAGTTCTTTTGAATAAATACCAAGAGTGGGATAGCAGGGTCTTATGGTGGTTCCATTCCTAGTCTTTTGAGGAATCTCTATATTGCTTTCCAAAGTGGTTATACTAATACATAATCCTGCAAACAATGTATGAGTATATGTTTTCCTCCCACATTCTTGCCAGCATTTAATTATTTGTTGTTTTTTTTTTTAGAAATTATCAATACAGTTTATTGGTAGCAATGTAAATCAATTACAATTAAAAACCAAACTAAACCGATTTTCCAAATGAATAAATCTTAAGCACTATTAATTGCCTATAACATATCTGGCAAATATGTTTAAAAAATTCAACAATATTAATTTTCTTTGTAAATTAACTGTAAAAAACTATAACTGTTGAGTCAATCTTCATTAGTACTTGAAAGTACAAATACAAGTCAAATAAGGTTCAAAAGACCTCATAAAACAGAATAGTCTAAAATACAAAGACAATTTTTAAACTGCTTGATTTACTTCAAAGCATTTTTATACAAAATAATAATAATAATACCCACCTTAAAACAATACATGTTTTCTGGATTGTACACGAAAGTTCACTTCCAGATGTCTTTTCTGTCAAATATTTAATCTTTCTTCATTGTCAGAATCTTAATTTTCATTCCTGGTTGGATTTTTCTTCCTTGATAATTCTTTTTGTTACTCCACTGAAATATTTCTCACGGAAGGAATTATGACCTTGATATGGCAGAAAATGATCACTTAGCAGATGTGAATACTGGTCCCGGTTCTCGAATTTCTTCACCTTTTCCATTGTGATCAAGCACCTTGATGTGTGACTAGAAAGTTTCTGCTCATAGTTGCTGATGAGTTTCAGGCAAGGGTGCCAGGGTACCATCTCTTCAGTGTACTCTGGTGTATACACTGGTAACCAATAGACTAGTCTTCCACCTAATACGAGGGTCTCAGCTGCAAAGTTCAACAGGTCAAAAAACATATCACTCAAGTGATAACTCAAGGAAACAGGAACATGGCTTTCTGGACACTTCTCTATCCCCCTTGGTATTTCTTTCTGTGAACCTGTTCTTCTTGTAGATTCTCTGTTACCATATGGAGGGTCAGTGATAATGGCATCAAAATATGTGCCCTTCCTCCAGGAAGGTTTAGATGCATCTGAAACCAGTACATCAAGGTAATACTTCTCTAAACCATACTGACGAAGATTGGCTCTGATATTTTCATCTGGTCCTCTCCATTTCTGGTTTTTCCGACTAGCCTTTCCCAAGCCATGAACTGTATTATAGTCTATGTCTGTCCCATGTACATATGCACCAAAATGAGCAGATGCTATCAGGAGGCCACCTGTTCCAACAAATGGATCAAAGACAATATCATTTTCTTTTACTTTTCCATGGTTTGCCATGTTGAATGATAAACCAGCATCCATGCTTGTATTTTCAATAAAGTGTCTCTTTTTGACACTGTATAACTCAATTAGCTCTCTCTGTCCATCTGCAATCCATCTACCAAAATAAATATTATATGGATTCTCAGGGATGCAATTAGGGTCCAATATAGAGAATATATGTTGTGGTTTCTTTAAGTTCACTTTTCCTTCAAAGGGCAGAAATTCAAGTGCATCTATTCATTTGACTTTTTCTTCTTATGTCAATGTTTTATTAAATGTGTGAATCTTTATTTTATACATAGAGTCTGAATGCAGAAATGGAACCACCTTCTCCACAGGGTAATTTTTAAGAGAACTATACAGCTCCTCAGGAGATCTTCCATGACCCCATAGTTCAAATATAGACTTGGCACACACTGTCCGTTTCATTAAGTTTCTTGCAATATCTTCAGAGGGAAGACTAAGAATCCAAAATGGTGACTTCCCGAGTCTTCTTAAGTTGCTGAGGCTGGCCTGGAACTTGATACTTCTGCCTCAGCTTCCCAAGTAGCTAGGATAACAGGAAATAAAATCTTTGCTTTCACTTTTTGGAGGTCAGTTCATCAGCAGGCATTTAATTATTTGTATTTTTGGTGATTTCCATTCTGACTAGAATGAGATAAAATCTCAATGTAGTTTCCATTTGCATTTTCCTGATGTCTAGGGATGTTGAATATACTTTCATATATTTATTGTACATTTGAAATTTTTTGATAAGTGTCTGTTTAGTTCTTTTACCATTTATTAATTGGGCTATTTGTCTTTCTAGTGATAAGCTTTTTGAGTTCTTTATATATTCTGGATATTAATCCCTTGTTGGAGGAGTAGCTGGCAAAGATCTCCCATTCCATAGGCTCTCTCTTTACATGCCAAATAATTTCTTTTGCTGTGCAGAAGATTTTTAATTGGATGCCATTCCACTTATTTATTATTTGTTTTATTTCTTGAGCTTTAAGGATCTTTTTACAAAAGTTGGTACCTGCGCCAATATGTTCAAGATGTTAAGCCTAAGTCTTCTTCTAGCAGTTGGAAAGTTTCTGGGCTAATTCTTAGGTCTTTGATCCACTGTGAGTTGACTTTTGCACAGGGTAAAAGATAGGGAAATAGTTTCATTCTTTATAGGGATTTTCAGTTTTCACACTACCTGCGTGGGCTCTCTCTCATCCAGTGAGGAGGTCTACAGAACAGGGTAGAGGAGAGTGTGGTTACAGAGTAACTAATCATGACCTCCGGAGACCAAGCAGGAAGCAGGTCTGATTTTATTGCACAGTTACCATGTATATACACTCAGGCAGTAGCTAAGCAGATTACAGGCAGCCACCAATGCAGTTTCTGCTAACTGTCCTTGCAATGATCAATCGAGGAGTGGGCCATGGAGCAAGCACAGGGACTACAACACATGGCCTCATGCCCAGGACTGTGCCTATGGGGTAAGCTACCTGCTGCACATGCGCCTAGCACGAGGGGAGTTGCCTGCAACTCAGACACCCTTAACGTGTGCCACATATGCAGTACTCCCTGCACTTATCCCTCAACTACTATTTGTTCAAAAGGCTATCTTTTCTCCAACATATGCTTTTGGTACCGTTGATGAATATCAGACGACTGCATCTATGTGGATTTTTCTCTGGGTCTATTCCATTGGTCTTCTTGTCTGTTTTCATATTAATAACAACGCTGCTCTTTTGCTACTGTAGCTCAGTAGTATAATTTGAGATCTGGTTTTGTGGTACCTCCCATACACTCTTGTTGCTCAAGATTGCTTTGGCTATTCTGGTTCTTTTATTCTTCAAGTGAATTTTAGGACTATTTTTTGCTAATTCTTTCAAAAATGTCATTGGCTTTTGTTAGAGATCGCATTACATTTGTATATTGCATTTGGCAGAATAGCTATTTTGACAATATTAATTCTGCCTATTCAAGAACATGGGGATTCTTAACATCTTCTAACATTTTCTTCAATTTCTTTTCTCATTGTTCTACAATTTTTATGGTAGAGGTCTTTCACCTCCTTGGTTAGATTCATTCCCAAGTATTTTATTAGATTTTATTTGGTTATTATAAATGGGATAGTTTTCCTGGTTTCAATCTCAACAGATTCATTATTGGAGTGTAAGAATGCTATTGATTTATCTATGCTGAACTTGTATCCTGCTACTTTGCTGAATTTGTTGATCAGCTCTAGAAGTCTTCTGGTAGAGTTTTGTTTTGTTTTGTTCTGTTTTTTGGGGTGCAGTCTTCTAGACACAGGATCATGTTATCACAAACAGAAGTAGTTTTACTTGTTATTTTCCTATTTGTATCCCTTTAATTTCCTTTTCTTGCCTGATTTTTCTAGCTAGAGTTTCAAGAACCATATTGATTAGGAATGGTGAGAGTGAACATTCTCGTCTTATTCCTAATGTTACGGGAAATGTTTTCAGTTTTTCTCCATGCAGTATGATGTTGGAATTGAGTTTATAAAATATTGAGATTAAGTTCCTTCTATCCCTAGTTTCTCCAGCACTTTTAACATGAAAGGGTGCCAGATTTTGTCAGACACATTTTCTGCGTCGATTGAGTTAATCATGTGATTCTTGTCCTTAATTCTATTTATATGGTGAATTACATTTATGGACTTTTGTATGTTAAACCAAACTTCCATCCCTGGGATGAAACCCATTTGCTCATGGTATACTATCTTCTTAATGTGTTTTTGAATGTCATTTTCCAATATTTTATTAAGGAATTTTGCATCTATGTTCATTATGGATATTGGTCGGAAGTTTTCTTTCCTTGATTTATTTTTGCTTGGGTTTGGTATCAGGGTGATACAGGCAGCACAGAATGACCTTGGCATTTCATGGAATGATTTGAGGAGGATTGGCATCAGTTGTTCTTTAAAGGTCTTGTGTAAATATACTGACAATCTATATGGTCCTGAGCATTTCTTTGTTGGAAGGCTTTTAATTTGCTGCTTTAATCTCATTGTTTTATATTGGTCCATTTAACTTTTCTATATCCTCATGGTTAAATTTGAGTAGGGCATATATGTCTAGATATTTGTCAACATTTTCTCAATTTTCCAGTTTATTGAAGTATAAATTTTCAAAGTTCTTTCTAATGATACTCTGAATTTCAAAAATGTCTGTGGTGATATCTCCTTTTTCATCCCTAATTTTGTTTATTTGTATCATCTCTCTTACTTTTGGTTAGTTTGGCTAAGGGTTAACCAGTCTTAACCTTTTCAAAGAACCAACTCTGCTGCATTGATCATTTGTATTCTTTTATTCTGAATTTTATTTATTAAGACTCTGATACTAATTATTTCCTGTCTTCTACTGATTTGGGAACAAGTTTGTTCTTCTTTATCTAGGGTCTTAAGGTGTAATAATGGATTAATTATTTGGGATCTTTCTGTTTTTTAAATGTAAGAACTTAATGCTACAAACTTTCCTCTTAGAACTGCCTTGATATGGTAACAGAGAGTTTGATATGTTGTGTGTATGTGTGTGTGTGTGTGTTTCTGTGAATTTCTTTCTTTCTTCCCTAATTTCTTTTATGATCCAATCCTCATTTTTTTTTAAAAAAAAAAAGTGTATTATTTAAACTCCAGGTGTTAAAATGTTTTTTTTTATCTTGTTTTTGATTTCTGATTTTATTTCATTATAAAAAGGAATATATTTCAATATAGCAAGGAATTCTTTTTTAATTTGTTACTACTTGCTTTGTTCTCTAAAATGTGATCTATTTTAGAAAAAGTTCCATGTGCTGTTAAGAATAAAGTGAATTTGATTATTGACAAATAAAATAGTCTACAGATATCTGTTCAATCAATCTAATTAATAGTATTTTTTAGTTCTGAAGACTGTTTATGTATGAATGACCTAGCTCATGGTTTATGTATGTATGACCCATAGTCTATGTATGAATGAATAACCTAGTTTATGTACAATTGATCTATCATTCATACATATGAATGATATATTAATGACCTATTTAATGGTGAGACCGTATGTGGAAATCACCCAGTATTATTGTAATGTGGTCTATTTGATTCTTTATATTGAGAAGGATTTGTTTTATGTATGTAGGTGTACAAATGTTTGGGGTATAACTATTTCCAATCGTTATATCTTATTGCTGGATGATTCCATTAGCCAGAATGAAGTCACCTTCTTAGTCTCCTTTGATGAATTTTGGCTTGAAGTCTACTTTTTCTGACATTAGAATGGCTACCCCTGCTTGTGTTCAGTCTCCAGTTGCATTGTAAATCTTTTCCCACACTTTCATGGGGGATTAAACCCAGGGTTACTCAATCACTGGGCCACATCCCCAGCCCTATTTTGTATTGTATTTAGAGTCAAGGTCTCACTGAGTTGGTTAGCACCTCGTCATTGCTGAGGCTGGCTTTGAAATCATGAACCTCCTTCCTCAGCCTCCTGAGCTGCTGGAATTATAGGCGTGCGCCACTGCACTTGGGCCATTTTGATTTATTTCTAACGTTTATTTCAAATTTTATTCTCTTTTTTTGTTTGTTTGTTCGTTTGTTTGTTTTTGGTATCAGGTATTGAATTCAGGGGCATTCAACCAATGAGCTATCTCCTCAGCCCTATTTTGTATTTTATTTAGAAATAGGGTCTCACTGAGTTGCTTAGAACCTCACTTTTGCTGAGGCTGGCTTTGAACTCATGATCCTCCTATCTCAGCCTCCCGAGCTGCTGGGACTACAGGTGTCCACCACTGCACCCTACCAGATTTTATTCTCTTTTAATTTACTATTATTCTAGTGGGATTCATCCCTACACTGACTCTGATTTTTATTTTTAATTTCTTTTACATGAAGTATTTTATTAATTCATGTATTATGAAGGCTTAGTAATTATGAATTATTTTACTTTCTGCTTATCATGAAAGGTTTTCATCTTATCTTTAATTCCAAAGAATAATTTTTCTGGAGGTAAAATCTTGAATGGTAAACATTTTCTTTTAGTGCTTGGTATATATTATTCCAAGTCTTTCTGGTTTTCAGGGTCTGGACTAAGACATCAGTTGAAATCTTATTTGGTTTACCTCTAAAGGTGAATTGCTATTTTTCTCTATGGCTTTTAAAATCCTATTCTTATTCTGTATATTAAGCATTTTAATTATAATGTGTCTTCACTTAGCCAATCCCAAAAAACCAAATGCCAAATGTTTTCTTTGATATAAGGAGGCTGATTCATAAAGGGATAGGGAGCGGGAATATGGGAAGAATAGATGAACTCTAGGTAGAGTAGAGGGGTTGGAGGGGAAGGGAGGGGCATGGGGTTATTAATAATGGTGGAATGTGATGATCATTATTATGTCCAGGTATGAAGACACGAATTGGTGTGAATATACTTTGTATGCAACCAGAGATATGAAAAAATTGTGCTCTATATGTGTAATAATAATTGCAATGCATTCCACTGTCATCTATA